TAGGGGTTTAGGGTTTAGGGTTTAGGGTTTAGGGGTTTAAGGTTCGGGGTTTAGGGGTTTAGGGTTTAGGGTAACTGGTCGACGGAGTCGAGCTGCTTTGCGGGACAGTGTACCTCTAACCCCCCGGGTACCTACTACACAGGGTACTCGAGCCCCTAGGGCTCTATATAGTACGTACTGGGAGGGTTAGGGTACTACAGCAAGGGTGTCATGCTATCGCACTCCGGAGTGTAGAGGTGGCAACTAGTCAAGTCTAGTTGCGAGTACTCAGTATGAGCCAGGCAAGTACCACGGCAGTGCGTATTTCTATGTGATTCTCACCATCATCCGCACTGCTACTCTGGTTTTCCAAATGGGTCGTTGTCAAAATTATGGTCCCTTTTGGGGTACCCTAAATAATAGGTGCCGTAGTAAGGACCCCAAGAGGGACCATAATTTTGACAACCACCCAAATCACTAGTATTCCATTATTCCCTTTGTTGTTCTAAATCGTCATGAGGTTGTCCGGGAAGCGTTTCCCAGCCACGCAATCCTCCGGCTCTCGCTGCACGGCTGCTGTTGATCTGGGTTTGGGTAAACTAGTTACAGCCGAGGAAGTTGGACTCCTGAACCTGAAACCCAAAGGCTCCATGTACCTTTATAGTAGATACTTAGGCCTTAAAGGGGTCCCTATATTGATACTTTATGGCTTAGGTATCTACTATATGGGTACATGGAGCCTTCGGGAAAAGCCTGAGCATGATGTGAGGGCGCGCGCTTTCGAAAGTTCGGGGCGTTCCAGAACACGTTAGGGCGTTTGGGTTTTAGGCTCCTCGTGATCATGGTTTTGCGTTAGCGTTGGGATATGTTGATGAAGCTATTTGATTTCCTGTTCTCATACACCAGTCACGAGTCCCTAAAGCCCTGGAAACCCCAAACCCCAAAAACTAAAAACCCACGGAGGTTCGTCTATGGCCCAGTGGTTGCTGGGGCGCACAGCACTTTCCTGCAGTTCGCCCTTGACAAGCTGCGTTCGCGCGATCCCTTCGACGCCTTTGCTGACCAGTCCTTTGGCCTGAGCCGGATTAGGGTCTATAGTAGGTTTCAGGGGTTTAGGGTTTAGGGGTTTAGGAGGGTTTAGGGGTTTAGGGTTTAGGGTTTGGGGTTTAGGGTTCAGGGGTTTAGAGTTTAGGGTTTTTGGGTTTTGGGTTTAGGGGTTTAGGTTTCAGGCTTGAGTGTTTAGTGTTAATTAAGGGAATCAGTAACATAAAGCCTCAACCTCAATACGTTAGCTCCAACGAGCCGTAAATCCCAGCCAGGTTGATGGAAGCAGAGAACACTTTCAGAGGCTTCGCCCTCCAGCGGCACCCCACCACGAGCAGAATTCAGCAATCCTCATCCCCTATAACCCCTCAATCCTAAACCTAAACCACCCCTCATGCCCTAAACCCTACGTAACCCCAAATAACCGACTTTTCGCGGACTTATATAAAGAAATCCTGATAAAGAGCCCTAAAAAGGTAGGGTCTTTACACCCTGAGCCCTCCAGACTGTCAGTTGAGGATCCGGTCCTGCATCTTCATCAACGACGTGGTAGACGCCCTGCGCTTGGCCGTTCAGGCCAGGGACGGGCCTTCGAGGGCCGTAGGTCCGTAGGTTTAGGGGTGTTTTCTGAGTTTAGGGTTTATAGGGGTTAAGGAGTGTAGGGCTGAAAAGGGCTTGGATTTAGAGTTTAGAGTTTTGGGTGGTCTGGCTGGAAATATTCTAGTATTGCTGAATGGTTTCATATTTATTAGGTTTGGTGTGAAGCTGTACCTGAGAACGTTTGGGACGGACTCATGATTGTTTGCTGGCTTCGTTTCCAGAAGCGCAGGCCAGCGGCAGGCAGATGTTGTTTCGGCTATGTGCAAGACTATCAATGCCGTCATCCATGAGCGTGTCCGCAGTCGGCAGAAATCGTGAAAAGTGGCAATGGCAAACCAAACCGCCCCGGTTCGCTTCATCGCGCGTGCTCTGCTGCGCTTGAGCATTTCGGGCATATCGTTCGCGGTCAGAAATAGTCAGGATGAGTATATTCGAAGCGTGAGTACATGATTTCACCTGGGACCCATTCCCTAATCCATGCCTTGGCCCTGGTTTCTGGTTCACCGGCTCCCGGGGTTGATGGGCCGTGACTGGCCGTTTCCGGTTATTGTGAGATTTATGGGTTAGGTTTCGCGGCGTGTACGGCGGGCCACTACGCAACGAACCCGCAAAAAGGCAATTGCTTTGCAAGTGAACAGCATGGGAGCTGCACATTTGTCCGTTGGCATTTGCGAGGCATTGATGGCATCGTATGCGCTTGAAGCATCGCTTGTCCGAGTGTAGTTCCTTCAATGAACGGGTCGAGTTTCTTTCCCGTGTTGTTCGTGTCGTGATCCCTGCTGCTGCCCCAGGCTCGTTTACGTAAACCTCGCACAGCTTTAAACCCTAAAGCCTTAACCTAAACTCCAAACCCTAAACCCTAAACTTTAAATCCTAAACCCCAAACCCTAAACCCTCAGACTCTATAACCTTGGAGCCCGAGAGTAGGTGCGCCCTGAGAAAGAAAGCCCCGTCCTAAGCCCCGATGAGAATGGCAGGGTCGCCTCACTGGTACTGTGAACCTGGGAGGACCATCATGGCATTTGGGGGTTCCGGGTTTAGGGTTTAGGGGTTTGGGGTTTAGTGTTTAGGGGTTCAGGGTTTAGGGTTAACGGTTTGGGAGGGGTTGGCTTTGCAGTTGACATACGTAGACTTAGCCTTCTTCGACCACTGCATGTTTACAGCAGGAATGTTTGCTTGCTGCGTCTCTGCAAACCGACAGCAACATGCTCTGAAGCTCTGCCGGGGAAAGATGGCTCACGCTCCGTAGGCTGCGTGATTGCTTGCCTAAAGTACCAGTACTACATGCCACTGCCATCGTTTCTACACGACTGCTGTTTCTACAAACAGGACCGGAAGCTTTGTCCCGCCTTGACTTTGTGCGAGCTGTGGCGCGACACCTGGGCATCGACGAGACGCGCGCTCAAGGCGCACCCATTATGACCACTTGGGGTGTGGGGCTGGTCTTGTACTGCATTACGACGGTAATGAACTGGGCTTTGGAGTACCATACTTTAATACTTTTTTGGGGACCTGGTTCCTTAAAGGAGCCATTATGAAATAACAGTCTATACCTTTTTCGCCCTGGTTACTTCAAAGCCCAGTGAGGTTTGCCAGTACAATTTGAGCCTGAAGTTGGCCAAGAGGCTTGTATCATGAGGCCTGGAGGTGCACACCACGAATGCCAGAGTGCAATATACATCTCTGAGACGCTGCATCCTCCGAAAGGCCTGAGAAGGGAATCCATATCTGCCGATTGTTCAGTTCTTTTGTGGTCTAGGCTTCAATTTCGGGCCATACTCGAGGGTCTGAGGCGCCCGGATTTTAGCATGCTGCACGTTCAGTTTTCGCATTGTTCTTCAAGACGTCGTCGTCGTCGTCGTCGTCGTCGTCGTCGTCGTCGTCGTCGTCGTCGTCGTCGTGGTTGTTGTTGTTGTTGTTGTTGTTGTTGTTGTTGTTGTTGTTGTTGTTGATGTAGTTGTTGTAGTTGTTGTTGTTGTTGTTGTTGTTGTTGTTGTTGTTGTTGTTGTTGTTGTTGTTGTTGTTGTTGTTGTTGTTGGTGGTGGTGTTTGTGTTGTTGTTG